GATATATCTTCTTTAAAAGATGAAATTTCTTCTGACTTGGAAAACAAAATGTCTTCTCTGAAAAATTAAATATTTGTTGATGTGGAAAATAAGATGAATTCTGTTGAAGAAAAAATAATATTTTCCTTTGAAAAGAAAATAAAAGGGATGAAACAGAAGATAGAAGAACTGGAATATACAGAACCAGTCAAGGACAGTAAAATAAAGTGCCATAAGGTGGAGTCGAAGTTTAAATTGGAAGGAGCTGTAAATTCTGCTCATGTTAAAGCCTCAAATTTCGACGGGAAGATGTCATGCACCAACTACCTTAAACAGTTCAAAACAGCTGCCAGATCAAACGAATGGTCTGAACGAAAGAAGGCAATAAATTTGACCATCGCTCTTCGAGGAGACGCTTTAGATGTCCTTCAGACTATACCTGTAGAAGAGACCGATGATTTTGAACAACTAAAAAAGAGACTCAACATGCGATATGGCCACGAACATTTGGAGAATGTATACCAATCACAGTTAAAGAATCGCAAACAGAAACGAGACGAGACCCTTCAAGAATATGAAGTAGATATTGCCAGGTTGGTGCGAGGTGCTTACCCATCAGCTCCGGAAAACATGATAAAATGTTTGGCAGTCCAAACATTTGTTGATGGACTCCATTACCACGAGATTCAGAAAACATTCTGCTTAGCTCGCCATAAAACACTGGTCGATGTCTTGTCCGCTGCTTTAGAATATAAGGCAGCTACGCTGGCTTCTAGTGGATACAGAAAAGTAAGGACTGTAAAAGAAGAAGGAGAGAAAGATAAAATCGACCAACTGGTAAACATGACGAAGAGCCTTACAGACAGAAAGATGAAGACAAAGACCATCAGGTGCTGGAATTGCGGTGAACTGGGATATGCACGCAGTTTGTGCAAACGCCCTAGGGTCACAACGAATCAAGACAAGACTTTTGCAGGAAAACTAGAACAGGTCGGCCTAGAGGGGGCAGATTCGACCCGAAACCGTTGCAAAGACCCTCTTATACTGATAGTCTCTTTGAAATGTCACGATTATAGTGTATATGTAGACGGCGAAGTAAATGGTAAAAAGTATACACTGTTGGTGGATACTCGAGCAACTAAGACCATTATACGACCAACAACCATAAATAACCGTAAAAAGCTTCTATCAACAAGATTGCGACTGCAGACTGCTACAGGTGAAAGTGCCAACACCCATGGGGAAATACAGGTTCAATTGGGAATTGGTACAGAGAAGTTCACTCATACTATTATTGTCGCTAATATCAAAGAAGATGTTATACTTGGCATGGATGTAATGAACTTACATGGTTTCCAGTTAGACTTTAAGAACAGAGTGATCAAAGTTGGTGCCGAAGAGGTATTCCTACATCCATAGTGGGACAGTACCGTGCCAGTTGCTGTACAGGAGGATACATTGGTACCTGGAAGAAGTGAAACCGTTATAGTAGCACGGCTTTAAGACCACTATGGAAGAAGGAACACCTGTAATGATGAAACCCTGGAACCACGATGAAGAGGTTGGACGAGAAATTCTGATTGGAAAGGGGTTGGTCACGACTACTAAAGGGATTCCAGTTCGTCTTATAAACATTAATGACCACCCAATTATCATCAAGGAAGAGACCAAATCGGAACTTGTTTACCAGTAACTTCCATAATTCGTCAAACAACGACTTCCGATAATTCCAATTACAAATTTAAGCAAATTATTGCAGTTGCTGGACAATATCTAAATCGATTAGAGGAAAAGAAAATAAAGGAATTTATTCGACGATATCGAGATATTTTTATAACAAAAGGAGGAAAAACAGAAATAACTTCTGTTGTAAAACACAAAATTGACACTGGTGATGTCAGGCTGATTCGTCAATCAGCTCGAAGATTACCAAAGGCCAAGAGAGAGGAAGCTGAAAGGATTGTTTAGGAAATGAAGAAAGAAAGGGTAATAGAACCTTCTACCAGCGCATGGGTCTCTTCGGTAGTCCTGGTCCAGAAAAAGGATGGAACTACGAGGTTCTGTGTGGATTACTATTAGTTGAACAATGTTACCAAGAAATATAGTTACCCTCTGCCTCGTATCGACGATACCTTGGACACATTGGCCGGAAGTAAACTATTCTCTACCTTAGACTTGAAGTCTGGATACTGGCAAGTGGAAATGGACTCAGTAGACAAAGAAAAGACAGCTTTTACCACCGAAACTGAATTGTCGCAATTTAATGTTATGCCATTCGGATCATGTAATGCCCCCGCGACATTTGAAAGACTTATGGAAAATGTATTGAGAGGGTTATCATGGAAAACGTGCCTGGTATATTTGGATGATATTATAGACATTTGAAGAACATCTAAAGAACTTAGAAGATTTTTTTAAAACACTTTAAGCTGCCAACCGATGCTACACCCCAAAGAATGCCAGCTATTCCAAAATAAAGTCAATTACCTGAGTCATATAGTCAGTAATGATGACGTAGCTGTAGATAAGGAACAAGTCGCTTCTATCAAAGAGTGGCCACAACTAACTGATTAACATCAAATAAGAAGTTTTCTTGGGCTATGTACGTACTATCAAAGATTCATTTGGAAGTTTGCAGATATTGCTAAGCCATAAACATGACTCACAGAAGAAGCGAGGGAATTCTACTGAGACGAGGATTGCCAAGATGCCTTTGAAACATTAAAAAAGCATTTAACACCAGCACCAATACTAGGCTACCCACTACCAGAGAGAGAAATTATCCTGGATACTGATGCTAGTAATGTGGGAATTGGAGGGGTGCTTTTACAGATTCAGGAAGGGAAAGAAAGAGTACTAGGTTATTTTAGTAAAGTGCTCCCGAAACCTAAACGAAATTACTGCGTCACAAGAAGAGAACTCCTGGCAGTTGTAAAGTGCGTGGAACACTTCTACCAATACCTGTACGGAAGGAAATTTTTAATCCGAACCGATCATTATGTGGCTAATACAATTTAAGAATCCGGAGGGTCAAATCGCCAGATGGATTAAACGGCTTCAAGAATAAGACTTCAATATTGAACATCGAGCCGGATTAAGTCACAGAAATGCCGATTCTCCCTTTAGAAGACCGTGTCTAGCAGAGTGCTCCCACTGCAACAAAGCGGAAAGTGGACAGTGAAGATAAATAGTAAACAATTGTTAATAAATTATCGTTAAAAGGGTCGTGTATAAACTTTTGTATGTATTTCGAGCGTAAACAGTGTTATTTCGAGCGTAAACAGTGTTTATGGACCTTGCGTGTTAGTAGTCCTCGCCTAGCGGTTCGGGCTCTTACTTACATGTTGCGGTCCATAAACGCCTGTTTTACATCCTTGATACATAAATAACTATTATAATATAACAATTACAATTAGGCAATCCGTTAATCTTTTCGCTATTTATTTTACACTAGTTTGATGAGGGTTCAGAAAAAAATCATCTTAAACAACAAAAACGTTTTGTTGATAGTGGTTCATCGAGTCCCAAATATCAGTTTTGTACAACTGATGTACAATAGTTTTCCTAAGACCACATAATTTTTTCATCAAAAACTTTAAACCCAGGAAATCTGGCCATGGAATTTTAATGAAGATGTAGCTGATTTTATATGTCATTAAGAAAAAAAAATGAATTGTTAAAGATGATACCTATTTACCTATTTAGAGTTATTTTCTGAGCGTCATTAATAAAATAGTACAAAATGAACAGGGGAAAGATTAACGAATTACCTAACTTTAGGATAAATAAAATGTATGTATATAAAATTAAGAGTAATAGTCGTATTGTTTATTTTTCATATTTTTTCCATATTAAAAAATTAAGAAAGATCCTATTTACCAGAAACTAAACCCAGGTCACGAAATATTAAGTTAAGCGTCTAACTACCTGAGCCATGAAAGCATATGTCAAGTTAATTGCAAGGTGTTTTCTTGCTGCTAAGAAAATATAAACCTTACAAGTGACACCGCAGATGCGGAAGCAGTCGAGCGCCACTTTTAATATTGTGGTTTGATTAGGCTCGAGCTGCCTCAGTTGGAGATACGAACAATTTCAGAGGTCTCTTTAATATCAGATTGTTAATATAAAAGGGTAACAATAACGGGCTTTAATCGTTATTACTACATAATAAAATTTCCGGAAGCTGCAAGAGAAAATTGAATTTTAATACACAGTTAATACACATATACTTATTTTCAGCCCGTACACAATCTTACAGGTTTTTAATGCAGTTATGCGCTGGCTTGATTATTTATTGGAAGTTAGGAATCGAAGCTATCGTTGGTCTACTAATAAAAAATTATGATGATACTCCCATACATAGTAATTGTTTGAAAACTCGAATTTTTGACATTATGGCTAAATGGTATTTATTAAAAATTAAATAAAAATTGTCAATTTAGTTTTCCGACGATTTTTGTTTTTCAAATATGTAAGTAAAAGTTATTTCGTTACGTAATAATTATTTAATCAAATAAGTGACATTAACATTTTCTACCACAGCGGTTTTTTGACGAGTGCTCCACCACTGCTGGACTGTAGCTGAGAATTTTTATGTTCAACAAGGTAATAATAAATGAAAAATTTGTTATTTCGCCTTGCGAAAATAATATTGCTCCTAAAAGGGTCACTGGTTTCCCGACTGATAATAATATTGCTCATAAATGAGAACCATATTTTTGGACCTGTTTCATCATTATTTTTATTCCTCGGCAAGAAATATACATTATCGCTACTTCTACTCTGTAACTAAAACTGTTGTTTTTTTGTATATTTTTATTGTCTTTTTTTTACTGATTGTGCCAAGCTCAATGAGATGGGGCTCGTATCGGAACCATTTTTTTTGATTCTGTATTATAATATTTATACTGTTGTTCATAGAAATCTGGTGATGGGATTTAGTCCATTTTAATTATGTACATAATAACAAAAAATTAGAAATCCAGTTCTTTAACAAGTTTTATTTTCGTTTTTTTTTTTTTATGCAAGTGCAAAATTTTGAACAATTAACCTTATTTGCTTTATTGTTAACTTTTTATTTCAGAATAGCTGTAACAGTTGCTTTTGGAATTATTATAATGAACACTTCATTAATTAAAAAGTTAGTTGGACCGTCTAACTTTTATTTAATGGTATTTAATGAACAGGCATGTAGAATTCATTGGATTCAAGCTCTACTTTTAATCAATAATTTTTATTATACACTCGATATCGTAAGTAAACGCTTACAATTATTACATAAGAAAAGGGTTAAAACAAACTATAAATCAGCAACGAATATACAGGTAATATTATTTATTATATTGTAAAGCCGTCCGATATATCACAGTGTAATATTTTTATCTACAGTATGATAAAATATAAGCTACTTTCTGTAGTGTGTAATTTTTATTTCTGATTTATTATTTTGTTTTAGTGCAATCCTGTTTCATTTAACCGGACATTTTAATCGCGTTCAAATAATTGGTTTTAATCACATAGGCGTCTCATTCTGGGTTCGCTATTTAAGACGGCAGACAGTGCGGCAGATTCTAATACTATCAGGACAAACCTCTTTTTTTTATTAAAACAAGATAAAAAAAGTGTACTGATATATACATAGACATTAAAACTAATACAAAAAAGTGAGATTTTTTTTTATCGTGTACCTATATTCTTTGTCTTTTGAATCATTTTCATTAAACAAATTTAATGTTTTCTTCTCACCAACGCCGAGGATATGTAGGATATTTTACAAAAGTTTTTAGTAACCTCAGATCCTTTAATTTGTGGCCTGAGAAATTTTCCTTAAAAAAAAATAACTTTTTTGATGAAGATGTTAAACTTTTCATAAGCGAGTTTAAGGTGTAGTAATGTAAACGATATTCTGTATGATATTTTTTTTATTATTATCTCTTATATAATTACAAAATATCTATTCCTCAATATTTTGGCGTGGTACACTACTCTCCTGCCTAAAATGAGGATCGAGGACCCCAGCTGCCTCCCCCGAATTTGTTATTTCCTCCAGAAAATTGGAAATTTCTAGCCTTAGCTGGTCCCGATTCATTGTTGGAGAAATTGCATCGGGGCCAAATATTAGGACTCTACGAGCGTTTGGACTAAGACGCTGTAGAGAGGGCCTAAAATGAATGTCAAATAGGCCCATCATATGTTGTCTTATACTTTCTCGATCCATTGTCGGTTAGTTGCCGGTGATATTTTTATTCAAATAAAGTCAATCCTTATATTATATTTATGAATATTTTGGCTTTTATCGATACCGTACATACCGATTTTTTGTAACAAAACATTTATGTTTTTATTTCCTGTGGATATTATGGTACTTATACACGATGAGACAATAAAATAAATGTCTGTTAAATTTCTGTAATGTATGTATTAATTCAATTGCTCACTCTATATAGGTATCTGTTGGTTGAAAAAATGTAAAAAGATAACAAAGAGTCGATAAACAGGAGATTTGAGAAGAAAGTGTCTTGTAAAAATATCACTAGATTTTTCCAATGAGTATATTTGTTTAGTTCAAAGGGAAAAGTGATAGAAACTGGAAACGTAAATATGGAAAATTTATTATCGGACTTTGATTGTTTTCGTCGTTTTAATGACAACAAATTATACTGCCGCAATTGTGATCAGGTGTTAGTTTTTAATGGAAAGTCAAGTATGACACAACATGTGAAAACACAAAAACACATGCAATCTTTAGAGGGATGTCCAGACAAAATCTTTTATGAAGATTTATGCAACGCATTTGTTTCTGCAAATATTCCATTAACAAAATTAAATAATACAATTTTCAAAAATTTTCTTTGTAAATATACTAAACGTAAAATACCGGATGAATCCACAATTAGAAAACATTATATTCAAAATCAGTACGATAAAGCAATGACGGCAATAAAAACGAAAATTTCCAGCAAATATATTTGGGTTAGTGCAGATGAAACGACTGACATAAAGGGTAGATGTGTTGTTAATGTTGTTGTAGGATTATTAAGTGCTGAAAATACTTCACAACAGTATTTAGTTTCTAGTGTGTTTCGTGAAACTGTGAACGCTGAAATGATTTATGAAATAGTGAAACGTGGATTGAACAATGTAATTGATAATGACGTTTCAAAAGTTTTATTGTTTATTTCAGACGCGGCAAGTGTAATGTTGAAAACAGGGAAACTATTACAAGAACATTTTCCAAACATGCTGCATGTAACTTGCCTTGCTCACGCGTTACACCGAGTTTGTGAGTTTATCCGTGACAGCTTTCCAGACATTAATTCGTTGATTAGCTGTTTTAAAAAAATTTTGTTAAAAGCACCGTCCCGAGTTTCTTTATATAAAGAAATATGTCCGAATATCCCCCTACCTCCACAACCAGTTATTACACGATGGGGAACTTGGTTACAGGCTGTGTTCTTTTTTTCGGAGCATTTCGACAGACTAAAAGTATTTATTTCCAACTTATCAGAGGACGCTCTCTCTATCACTCAGTGTAAAGGTTTAATAACAAAAACAACTTTGCAGTCGGAGTTAAATTTTCTTGCGACTTATTTTTCGTGTCTCCCAGAAACTATAAAATTCCTTGAAACCCGTAACTTACAATTATCGGTTGCTATGGAAAAATTTGAATCGACATTGTTACACTTAAAAAACGTAAAGTGGCCCTTACAAGATAAATTTAACCATAAAATAGATTGTGTTATTAAAAGAAATCCAAATTTACAGACTCTGAAACAAATCTCCCTGAACAATTTTAACGATTATGAAACTGCTTTAAAATATTGTGAATTTGTTCCACATTTTTCATTTGCTCATGTAACGAGTTGTGACGTAGAACGATCGTTTTCTAGGTTTAAAGATTTATTGACTTCTAAAAGAAGTAATTTCACTGAAGACAATTTAGAAAAATATGCAGTCATACAAACATATTTTTCAAATGAAGAAGATTGATATTAATTTGTATTGTATATATTGTATATAATTGTATATTTGCTACTTTAGGATAAAGAGTGTATATTGGAACACTCTAAACATAAAACTAATGATGGTGTATCCTCGTTGATATATTTATTAGTCAATAATATATTAACAGAAAAAGCCAACAACATTATCCCACAACACAATAAAAAAATAAATAATAATATCATTTGTAATTATATAATAATATCCAACCAAATTTGAACTAAAATTTAATAAAATAATTATTGCAATGTAAATGTAATAATAAGCCCGCCCCAAATGTTACGCCCGGGCGATAAAAATCCAATATCTTATCTACTGTGTCGACCAGTTCAGTAAATAACTTGTTTTATTCAGAATGTATTATTCAAATCGAAGGTCCGCTCTTACCGTTACTTCGCTGATAAGAATAAATTAAATTGTCCGGTCTTTATGGTACTTATCAGCAGATTTTCAAGTATACATTATAAATTTATTTTTACTGTATATAAAATTAAAATATAGGTATAAGAAAGTAATATTTTATATGTCAGTATTCCTACTTTCATGTGTGCTGCATGGAACAGTGCTATATATGTATGAAGTGGATATAATATTTAAACCCAACTTAAGGTAAGACTTTTATTTTAAATGTCACAAAATAAGAAAGACATCTAAATTTAAGTTTTTCATAGCTACTGTAGGGGTAAGGTGTTTTCTCCTTACGTTTTAAATATATTCCTTCTTCTGTAATGGACTACTAAGGTAAAGAGCACTGGTTTTCTTTCGTTAATACAAAATAAAATACAGACATTTAACTTCATTTAATGTCGTAATTCTATACCAAAGAACTTGTTTATCACAACACTAAATATATTTATAATCTTAGTAAATCACATTTACTTCAGAAAATTAACCCCAGCCTTGATAGTATGTATTTTCAAATGTTTACATTCCTTCTCATCTATATTTACTTTATTAGCATTTCTATCATTTTCTTTACACCTTCTCGTACTATTATTCTTTTTTTTCTATTAATAACCATTTAATCAACATCAAAATGACACAAGACACATTATAAAAAATTGCCACCTTGTGATGCTCTTTAATTCATATCTAGCCCCACGGTGGGCGCAAATTGATTAGCAGACGCTGTCCAACCAAACGCTCCTTATTTAGAAAAAAAATTTTTACAATTTAAATTGTCTTCTTTCTTGTTAACCTTTCCTGTCTTCTCGTTATTTTAAAATACTACCTCTTCCTCCTGAACTGCTTGGAACTGCTTCCTGCTCTTTTTCTGTTTTTTTCTCTTCATTGGTGTCCTTGGCGTTACTGCTCACTGGATCAATTCAAATACAATGATTTTTCTAAAATATTGTATGTTCCACAATACAGAAAATATATTAGTAAAGGTTCCATATCTTATTTATAAAAATATTCCAGTACGCGATATGATGACAATAGATGGCAAAACTGATCGTTGAGCTCTTCGTTTACAGTGCATATGGACCGGCAGCTATTGCCTCAAAACTTACGTCGTAAGGTATACAAATTTTAACTGTCAGATTTAATGTGGATTGAAAATACAGTTTGATTTTGTTTTGTCTTATATTCCAAACTGGGGACATTTGGCCACTAGAAACTGTACAATTTTTAAAAAAAAGGACCAAAATTTACGTCGAAGTATTCAGATTTTGTGCGGAAAGGAAAATGTATCTTGTGTCAAATGAACAGCCTTCTACGCTCCCTATTAATAATATCCTTTCTTTTGTGTTCAGACCCCATGTGTGATACATTTTTGTAATCAGGGTGTTAAACCCTTTTAAATGGTATATCACATGACTTATATTGCTATTTAAAAAATCAAGATGGCGGCCATGCTTAAAATTTTGTAATTATAAAAAAAATTATTTTTGGGCTAAAATATGCACAAATATATTTTGTTAAAATTCTGAAATTTTGGGTTTTGTATATTGAATCGTTTAAGCACTATAGGTTCGGTCCCATCTTTAACAGCTACCCTGTATAACAATTTATTAATATAGTAAATAGGACTTATTTTTATGTTAGCCGGCAATTAAACCCCGGAAAAAGTGTCTGCCTTTTTGGATTTAATTTTTTTTTTATTTAATTAAGACGCTATTAAAATTTCATCGTGAATCAAACACTTCAAATCATATTTAAAAAAAATCAACTTAGGAGTTGATTTATTAATTATAAACCCTCTCAAAAATGTCTGCCTAAATTACTAGTATTTTTAGAATAACCTAAACTTTCAATTGTTATTTGTTGGCCTCTAAATCAAACACTCTTTTTGGGTCATATTTTACGACCCCCTTCTATTATGCGCAGTACGTAGTGTCCCGGGGTGAGTCTAGCCAACACAGGTATATCTGCTTTTCCATCCAAATGATATCAAATTACAAAATATCAAAGTGCATCAAACACTTAATGAAATTTGTGTCACTAGCTCTCCGACTATTAAGACAGATTTCAAATTTTAAAAAAGTCGAAAATTTATGTTATAAGGTAAACGAACGCGTTTTTTACTTGATCGTTTCTTATTAAATATACCACTCGGAAACTATTCTTAAGACAAAATATTTGGGAGCTTAGTTGGTCTAAGACAAGGGTTTTTGGAAAAAAGGGCCAATATTTAGATCACAAGGTTTAAGAATAAAACCAATATGATTTTTTGTGAAACAGTCAATTAGGTTATTTTAAATTCACTTAATAAAATATAAAAGTGTTTGTGTCAGTTGTTACCTAATTACAGCTTACTTAGCTTATTCAGTTAAGTGATTTCGACGGAAAAATTCGTATTTTGAGATAAAATTATTAATAAATGACTAAGATGGTTTTGGTAATAGCGACCATCTTCATTCAAGTATTAAAACGAAGTATAATCGGATATCTCAGTCTATAACAACAATAATTCAAAAAATATATCTACATCATGAAGCATACAATATTCTTTTACAATGTCCCTCGGGACAAAGTAACTGTTCCTTTCAATAATCTATGCACTCAACTTTACTACCAAACAGTATTACTTCCAATTTTCGTTGTTAGATGTCCAGTTTAGACACTCGTGATTTACAGATTTCGTTTAAGAGGTTATGTACGTTACTTAAAGTTATTAGTTATTACGTTAGTGATAGTTTTATCCAATTGTTATTAATACTGTGTAGTTATTTCGTAAATCTAGCAAATTCATATCATAAAAGTTACTTCATTAAAAGACATTAGTTTACCACATAATTATGATGAAGACGTGGAAACGCTATCGGGGAAAGGGACCTTACACGAAACTGTTGGCATATGCTTTCAAAATTAAATTACAGGGAATAACCAGCATCTACCAATAGAAAAGTTAGCAGTGCTACCGTCGCCATCTGAAAAAACCAACGTGGTTATCAGTGAATAATCTCCTAAGTAAACCATATTTTCTAATCGATCTAAAGCTACTAAGAAGAGGAAATTAGAGTTTATCGATGTTCAACTTCATACTCAAAGATCTTAAACTGGTACAAGCTCAGTGGTCTGATACTGTTTTAGAAATACCTGCTAGTTTTAAAAATACTGATATAACAGATCTTTTTTAGGCATTTTTATATTTTGTTTATAAAGATACGATACCAATGTGGATTGGTTATAGGGTAAAGTACGGATAGATGCCGCACTTTTTGTAAAAAAAAAATGTAAAAACTCGGTTAAGAAAAAATTTGTATTTCAAAAAACATATAATCATTCTATAATCTATTTTTTACTGAAATATTGACCTTTAAACAACATAAAAAATACTCTCCCTCTCGGTAGGGAGAGATGCCAACAACCGTGCGGAGAGATGCCCAATGTTAATTCCCATAAGGGAGAGATGCCGTAAATATTTCTTTTAATTCCACATGCTTGCATGGATTGCAAGTGTTCAAGTACATGGTACATGTCTCATGCAACCAGTTGTTGCATCTTATGCAGCAAATCCAGTCAACTGTTTTGGAAGTTTTACTGTAATCCTCAAAACATTCCACGCAATAGTATCTTTTGTTATTATCTTGCTTGGCTAATTCAGGAGTTTGGGATTTCTTTAAATCGGATATAGGAATCTCATCTTCGCTTTTGGATGTGTCATTTGTCTTTATTTTCTTTAGTTTTTTTTATTGCTACTATTTTTACTTTAATATTATTTTTATTCTTTACTTTTGATTTAGTAATTTTCTCTGTTTTATATTTCTTTTCTGAAATATTCTCAGGAGAAGTTAGCTCTGTAGCCGACTGTTTCCGTTTGTTAAATAATAATGGAATTTTTGGAATGGGCTGTATTTCTTTTAAAAACTTACTGGGACTTATGTCGTCCTCTAAACTCTTCGATGTACTTGGCTGGGGCTCCAGGAAATCATTATTTTTTTGTCGGGTAATTGTCATTTTGATCTTGATTTCAAGGAGTTCATGGTCCAAATATGTTGAATCACCAGACTGGCGATCTGGTGGAGGCAAAGATATTTTATTTGAATTCTCGTTTATTTCCTCACGGAAAACATTATTTTGGTCTGCATTTCCTGTTGCTTTATCGGCGATCGCAAAGAAATGATCAGGAATAGCGTTTTCATCTAGTGGATAGATGCCGGTACCTTTAAATCCAGAAATGGCATTTGCTGCTGTGGCAGCCCGCATCCACGCTTTTCCCAAAATTTTTCCTACTTGGTATCTCGAGAAGTTTCTGCTGAGATTGTTAAGCATCCATGTTTTCGCTTCTTGATTCCAATAGATCTTAAGAGGACCGAAAAAAATTTGTCCAATGGCTGCAGTGCTTGAGTACAATGACTTGGTAGACATAATAAAACTATGTCATTTTGGTTTGCAAGCTCTAGCATTTCAACATCTGAACAATAAGATGAATGTCCATCCATAATAAGTAATGTTTTACCTGCTGGCTTCCTTGGAATAAAATGTTCTCTAAGCCAGTACAAAAAAATCTCGGAGTTTATAAATGATGATTTTTTGTTCATTTGGACAGAAGATCCAGCAGGCAAACCATCGGCAAACTCTTGTTTTCTATTAACTCCTTTTAAAATCAGTATTGGCGCAAGGAACGTCCCGTCAGCGCTGCAACATCCTATTACGGTTACATTTTCACCGCGTTCACGAGACGTCAAGACATGCACATCCTTTGTACCTTTGAAAGCCAAAACCTTAGATGGTTTATTTATAATTTGAACCCCTGCTTCATCCATATTAAATATATTGGCTGGTCGATCTATCAAATTATTTTCACTTAGGATATTCCTCAATAGTTCAAAAAACTTTCCTACTTTACCTCGATTCATTTCTTTGGCTCTTGCTAAAGAAAATCCTTCGGCCTGTCGAATTGAAAGATCTGGGTTTCTCTCTAAAAAAGATCTTAACCATTGCTTGCCAGCTTTTTGATCTTCTTTGGAAAATTTATGCTCGATTTTAAGCTATTCTGCAAAATGAAAAGCCACAGATCTTACTGCGTTTCGATCAGGAGCAAATCCAGATGCACACAATTTTTTAATATGAGCAACTAATCTTCTCTCATTCTCTTTTCCAAGAACCCCTACAATAGTGTAAACATTACCTAAAAATTTTGTAATCCCTCAAAAGTTAAAATACCTTCCGGGCCCAGCGATCCTTTTCCAATTTTTCCAGATTTAATTCTTCTGTCTATTGTTCGCGCAGGAACGCCATATACCTTCTTTCTGCCTCACGCTTAGAAATTTCCCCAGATTGAACTTTTTCTATAGCAGTAGCTAGTTGTTCCTCTGTATAGGACCCTCTTGGTCTATCTGAAGGCTTTCGAAAATATTTTCTCGGCATAGTAGGTAAAGTTAATCTAAAAAATATACGAGTTAGAAAGAGTAACAATATGTTTAAAATGCCCTATTTAATCTTTAAAATGTAAAATTAGGCTATATTAATATTAAAAATTTTGTGGCATCTTTCCGTACCAAAAAGTGCGGCATCTCTACTTTTTGGTACGGATAGATGCCTCCCGGCCCACGCCTGCGCCTAATAAATCTGTAGCCGAAAATACAAAACAGAATCTTAAATATGCCCTATATAATTCTATAAAAGTAAAATGATCCAATTCTTTAATTTTAAACTAACTTCCCCAATACTATTAACAGCATACAAATACATTTTAAGCAATAGAAGTATACCCTACCAACTTTATTCACACAATTCTCGCCTAAACACGTGCTTAATCAAGACACCAACCACAGACAAAACAATACTGACTAAATGGCGTTTGGATGCCGCCGACCGTTTTTTTTTTTGAGTACACATAGTTTCGGCATCATGTGATCTGCGGCATCTCTCCCCCTGCGGCATCTATCCGTACTTTACCCTAACTCCAAAACAGTAAAAGATGACAATACAGTAGAGAAGGTGACATATTTGTGGAATTATGATGAACATTCTACTAACCCATCGAAAATACTAGAGACCTTAAGAATTACAGATAGCAATGGTAATGAATGTGGTCAAAATTTTGGTGTTGTTACTTACGACTTAGCTATGGCTAAACCTGCAATGCAAATATAGTCAATAGAGTCACCAAAATTTTATAATATTTTTATACATTTTGGCGAATTTCATTTATTTATGGCATACTTTGCAGCTTTAGGAAAAATCATGTCCGAATCTGGATGTGCTCATATTTTGTGTGAAAGTGGAGTACTAGCAGATAATTCGGTAAAAGGATTTATGTCTGCAAGAAACAATGGGGCAAAAAAACTCGTTACCTTATGATGTAAATTTTTGTCGGTTGTTAAAATTTCAAGTCTGTCTTAAGGAAAAAATGCCCCAAATATTTTGTCCTAAAATATTGTTCTAGATTAGAGATTCAATTCCACATAAAATCACATTCGTTTTATTCTCATACCTTATGACGTAAATATTGGCCCTGTTTTCAAAAACCCTTGACTTAAAGCAACTAAGCCCCCAATTATTTTGTCTTACGAATAGTTTCCGAATGGTGCATTTAGTAAATAACAATCTGCTTAAAAAATCGTTTTTATACCTTATGACGTAAATTTCTGTCTTTTTTTGAAATTTCAAATTTGTCTTATGGAAAAAAAGCCCCAGAATATTTTGTCTTACACTGTTTTAGAATAGGTGGCCCTTTCCGCACAAAATCTGATGGCTCTTATTGTTATACTTTGTGACGTAAATTTTGGTCCTTTTTTAAAAATTTTACAGTTTCTAGTGGCCAAATGCCCCCGGTTAAGGATGTATGACAAAACAAATCAATCTACATTAAATCTGAAAGTTCAACAGTTTTGAGGCAGTAGCTCCCGTTCCAATAATCCGACTGGAATAGTTTAATATCGCTCTTGCTCTCTTCGTCTCTCTCTCTCTCAAATAAGAACGCTGAATTACTGTTCTATGCTGTCGGGAAACTAGTCTGACACAATACCAAGATTTTGTTGGTTACTAATTTCCCATTTTGTCCCAAAGCAGTTCGTTTTTGCATTGATTTCACATCGTCAGAAGTCTGTAGGAAATTATCCTGGCCTGCCTTTTAAACAAACTATAAAGAGATCCAGCATGTCTCAGCGGCTTTTGTAGGTATGCTAGGCATATAAATGCCAAATTAGGTCATGAGGAAAATATGAAAATCTTAATAGATGATTGAAATAACCAAAAAAGGTTGACAGCTGTGTGCACGTAGTTTAGATTCAAAAGGAAAGACTTGTATTTCGTGAAAAACTTTTTAATTAATAAATGCAAAGCGTTTTCGGCTTATTAGCCATCATCAGTGCTTATCTACAAAAATTGTGGATGTAAACTTACAATTTAAAAAAAAAAATCTGATTGAGACTTTTAAGTCAAGAGTTAAAATTGTATATATACGGTTGTTTGAACAAATTAATAATTAAAAGATACAAAGTGACAAAAATCCAGTATTGGGTCGAAAGGAGTCGTTCCACGAAAGGGCATACTTTCCTCGATCATCGTCCATCACCAGTGGGAAATTGCCACATATGTTTTATAATTATTGTTATAGCACAATACCTAATGCGCCCCTGGTATCTTTTAAAATCACGCTGCAATTGCATGCTTTGTTTACAACTTTGGAATATTCAAGTTGAATTAAGTATAGTTGTTTAAGGTTTACTTGACAGGTATATACTAGTTAATTTGGGTAGGACAGCAGGCGCAAAGAAACACCGCCAACTTAGTTTCAGTACTGTTTATTTCGGGCAATACTGTACCTACCTAGATGGTAAAAATATTTTCCTCTATTTGTAGAAATCTGGAATTAAGACATTTTAAAAACTCAACAACATATTTAATATCATACCAGTCAACTATTTCTATATGGTCCAGCAGTTTTATTGGAGTAATTATGGGTAATTTGTATTATAACAAGAAACATACTGTTTACAGTAAAACTTGGGTAAGTTACTTTAATAGCCATATATTATGTTGGGAATGGGATGTTAATACACTGCGACCTAAAAGATCTATTGTGCCCCCTTCTGTCGCTAATGCAGCAAGGAAATATCTCAATGCCTATAACGACCCTTCCAATCCTATCTTCTCAAGAAAGTGTATGATTTGGAGTGGCTTTAAGTTAGGGTAATATCCATAACGTAACTTAAAATAATAATAGTGTACGACTATTATTAGTTGCCTCGATAATTAAAATAGGACATTTACCGTTCTTTATTACAACAACAAAATTATTAGAAGTTATGTTTTAGCTATGGTAATACATGAAAATGCACCTTCATTCGGTAGATTAGATTAGATTTGAGAGGAGTTGGATATTATTTGTCTTCATCCACTTGTCTTCATCCACTGCGACCTTCTGTCAATTGTGGGACTTGATAGTGGTTCCCGCATGTAATTACATGCGTCTGGCATTTCTTCAAGTGGTGTTAGAAACTTAAATCTAGCCACGTTTTCACACCGGTACAGGGAGCGTTGATTAATGATTCCTCTTCTTCTTTTTCTTATTGTTCTTCTTCTTCTTCTTTTTCTTCTTCTTCTTTTTCTTCTTCTTCTTCTTCTTCTTCTTCTTCTTCCTTTTTCTTTTTCTTTTCTTCTTCTTCTTCTTCTTCTTCTTCTTCTTTCTTTTTCTTTTTCTTTTTCTTTTTCCTTTTCTTTCTTTTTCTTTTTCTTTTTTTCTCTTTTTCTTTTTTCTTTTTCTTTTTTCTTTTTCTTTTTCCTTTTTTCTTTTTCTTTTTCTTTTTCTTTTTTTCTTTTTCTTTTTCTTTTCTTTTTCTTTTTCTTTTTCTTTTTCTTTTTCTTTTTCTTTTTCTTTTTTCTTTTTCTTTTTTCTTTTTCTTTTTTTTCTTTTTCTTTTTTCTTTTTCTTTTTCTTTTTCTTTTTCTTTTTTTTCTTTTTCTTTTTTCTTTTTTCTTTTTTTCTTTTTTCTTTTTCCTTTTTCTTTTTTCTTTTTCTTTTTCTTTTCTTTTTCTTTTTTCTTTTTCTTTTTCTTTTTCTTTTTCTCTTTTCTTTTTCTTTTTCTTTTTCTTTTTTCTTTTTCTTTTTCTTTTTCTTTTTTCTTTTTCTTTTTCTTTTTTCTTTTTCTTTTTCTTTTTCTTTTCTTTTTCTTTTTCTTTTCTTTTTCTTTTTTCTTTTCTTTTTTCTTTTTCTTTTTTCTTTTCTTTTTCTTTTTCTTTTCTTTTTTTCTTTTTCTTTTTCTTTTTTCTTTTTCTTTTTTCTTTTTCTTTTTCTTTTCTTTTTCTTTTTTCTTTTTCTTTTTCTTTTTCTTTTTCTTTTTCTTTTTCTTTTCTTCTTTTTCTTTTTCTTTTTCTTTTTTCTTTTTCTTTTTCTTTTTCCTTTTTCTTTTTTCTTTTTCTTTTTTCTTTTTCTTTTCTTTTTTTTTTCTTTTTCTTTTTCTTTTTAAAAGTTTTTATGCAGCGTTTGTGCACAATAAATTGTTTTTCACAACGTGTTAAATTTTTATTGTACACATGGAGATAGTCGCAGCTAGCACCGACCGGAGACAGTCCATTTGGTAAGCGTGCCTTAGAGCCGTACTTATAATTTGTGTTTGATTTCAACCATTAAAAACCTACAACTCCAACAGGTTGTGTGTATCTACCCAGATCACACCTTTGTCCTCAATTCCTATATGTTTCAGATTTCTAATTATTGAGTCGATGACGGTATTGTCGAATGCTGCTTCGATGTCCAAGAAAGTTCCTTATATTACCTCGCTGTTTTTCAGTGTGTTCTCCACCCTTTTAACCAATTGATGGAGAACTATTTCTGTTGTTTTTTCTGCATTCTTGGCGTACTGACCCTGGTTTATTGGTCTTTAAACGAATATCCCGCCTCTAATATATCTATCTAGCAGTTTTTCTAAAATCTTCAGTAAAAAAGACATTAGACATATTGATCTTGGGGACTTTATCGTTACCAATCCCATTTCATCAGGGAAATAAACCCTAAAGGGTTCTTTTACCGTTTCATTCCATATTTTTGTGAACTTTCCTAATTAGTCCTTTAGAGAACTTATTGAGTTTTGTTTGTTTTTGAAAGGATTTTCTGGAGTCTGGCACATTCTTGAGTGTTTTCTATCTCTTCACAGTGCCTCCTTCAGGAATCTCTCTTGACTTTCCGTTAGGTTATGTAAAATTGAACAAAAATTAATATAAAAATTCTTTTAAGGTATATAAGCTCTTTCAGTGAAGTAAATCCATATTTAAGAGCCAGGCTTATGTTTATAACTTCAATCTTAAATGATCACATATTTTAATTTTATTGAAATTGTTTATTCTTTTTAAAAACGGCTTATTTTATTTTTAGAAACTTAATATCTTGTGGAGTCTTTCATGTTTTGGTTTAACTGGCATTAGTTTACTTCTGTGTCATACTGAAGTGACAGATCGTTTGGTAGCAGCAGTTCTAGGATCACTTGTGAAACCCATGTATACTCTGGGTGTAGGTCTTGGAATATGGGCAATGTCACATAATTTTGGAGGTAAACAATTTAAAAAGTAAAAAGAAAACAGTAACGCTAGATAATAATAATAATAATAATAATAATAATAATAATAATAATAATAATAATAATAATAATAATAATAATAATAATAATAATAATAATAATAATAATAATAATAATAATAATAATAATAATAATAATAATAATAATAATAATAATAATAATAATAATAATAATAATAATAATAATAATAATAATAATAATAATAATAATAATAATAATAATAATAATAATAATAATAATAATAATAATAATAATAATAATAATAATAATAATAATAATAATAATAATAATAATAATAATAATAATAATAATAATAATAATAATAATAATAATAATAATAATAATAATAATAATAATAATAATAATAATAATAATAATAATAATAATAATAATAATAATAATAATAATAATAATAATAATAATAATAATAATAATAATAATAATAATAATAATAATAATAATAATAATAATAATAATAATAATAATAATAATAATAATAATAATAATAATAATAATAATAATAATAATAATAATAATAATAATAATAATAATAATAATAATAATAATAATAATAATAATAATAATAATAATAATAATAATAATGATAATAATAATAATAATTTATAAAAATGGGTAGATACACCATGGTGTGTCTGTATAGTATTATATTATATTATATTATATCCAAAAAATATAGTGAAAACACCAAACTATTATCAATAGCAAGTTGTAAAAACGTTCATTATAATTTTGTTTATAATAGTTTATAATTATAAACTTTGACATGACCTTCAAATTTTTAACTTGCCTCTTTTATATTTTAGGTATAATGAAGAGAATATTGGTAAACAAAAATATTGTATTACTCAGCAATTTTACTTTCTGCGTATATTTATTACATACCGGAGTAATTAACGTTTTACATTATTCTACTTATGAGCCAATAGTATTTAATGAATTAGTAATGGTAAGTTAAGGAAAAATTAGAAGCACGTTGAGATAGTTAAGGTTGTGAACATCCCATGTACGCTTTTATGTTAGAAGCTACCATGGTTAAAGACACTTGTACACTTCTAAATTTTTTGAAAATATGGCCCTAAAGTGTGAAAGATCTAATAATCCCCCAGTTTACGACACTTTATTCTGTAGTAATGATAAGGGTAGTAAGAACACGTTTTGTATCAAATTTGTAGTGATATAGGTTATTTTTACAGTTTAATGTTTAATGCTCTTTGTTATGGATCGTACTCCGAAATTAGATATAGGACGACACCATATTTAAAGCTCTCTATCATTTATTAAGGTTAATGACTAAATATGAAAAATTCATTATTAATTAAATGACTTTTAAAGTTTGTATATTCATTGAAAATTTAATACACATATTTAAATCAAATGACTTATATGCGATAAACAAAAGAAGCCGAATTAAATTTCTGATTTAAAATTTTGGCAGTGTCTATTGAACCGATGCGTTGGAAACCAATTTTAAACAAACTAAAATAATAATGGCTTCTAATAAAATTGTTACTCTCGACGATTTATACGTCCTTTTACTTAATCTTAATGCAAAAGTGGACTTAACACAAACCACGCTAACTGAATTCAAGCAAGAACTTATGAACGTCGGTAATAGAACCAACAATCTTGAGAAAGAAAATATTGCCCTAAAAGCTAAGGTGTTTGAGATAGATCATAAACTACGTAATAACAGTATTGTGGATTTTGGATTGGAGAATCAACTCAATTGCGTAGACGCGCTCACATTTCTCTCAAGTAAACTTGAAATTAACTTGGGACTTCAAGATTTAAATTTTATAAACCTGTTTACTTCAAAAAATAATAAAAAGATATTAAAAATCGATTTCTTGTCTAACCTAAAGAAAAGTTAAGTATTTAAAAAATCTTAACAAACTTAAAGACTCCCACATTTTCGTTGCCGACGACCTAAATCCACAGGACCAACTGTTACACAAGGAGTTAAGAAAACATCTGAATACTGGAAAGAAAAACGGTTTAAAAATATTTATAAAAAATAATCGCTTGTGTGTAAATAACAAAAAATACACATTAGAAGAGTTAAATACCGATCCCGATATTTTAGCAAGTTTATCCATTATCTCTGGACCTCCTACTTCCGAAGGTTTATCACAATCAAGCAGTTCCTCTGGACCAAGTAGTAACCCACAGGATCTGGATAAAATAACTGATCGTCTACGAAACAAAGATAAGCGACAACTTCAAAGAAAATAGTTTGTATTATTCTTATGTCCTAAAATTAGTAGTATAATAAGAAATATCTTTTTGGATCTTCTCTTTTGATTTACAATATTTGTTTTTTCTTTTTTTGGTCTTAAACACTCCTTGAGTATCACTTAAGTATTCTTTGTTTAAATTACTATTATGAATAAAAATGTTTCTTTTTATCATTTGAATGTACGGTCTATTTTCACAGGCTTCAACAGACTATATGAATTTATTACTAGCAGAAATATTGATATTTTTGGTTTAAGCAAAACTTGGTTGTCATATGAGATTGAAACGAGGATTGTGGATATAAACTCGTACACACTTATTCGTGCTGATCCAGATGATAAGGGCGGTGGTTTAGCATTCTACATAAACAAAAAAATTAATTATAAAATAATATTTTCAAACATTAGCCATTTTTTAGAACAATTTTGGATATCTGTGATTTATGAAAATAAGACTTATATTTTTGGTGTTGTATATCGACCACCAAAAGCTATTATCTTACAGTGTCTACAAGAACTAGAAGATTCCGTATCAAATCTTCTTCCTATTAGTGATTTGTTTATACTAGCTGGTGATCTTAATATTGACTGTTTGTACGTAAATAGACCTTTTACACTACTTAATGAATTTCTTGAGTCGTTTAATTTAAAGCAACTTATTGATAGACCTACTCGTATCTCCAGAACATGCTCTACTCTTCTTGATCTTTTAATTGTAAGTGAACCACATTTTATTTCTAACATTCATGTCTATGATATTCACGGCATTTCAGATCACTTCTCAATTTCATGTATTATCGATTTTTTAAAAAAAGACTGCAGGCCAAAATATGTGACATATAGAAATTTTTCTAACTTCGATTTAAATGCTTTTAATCACGATCTACATCTTTTGACCCTGGACAACATATATGCCATGGAAAATGTTGAAGAAATGGTAAACTTTTTAAATATGAACATAATTAAATTGTTTGATTATCATGCTCCAATTGTAACCAAAAGAGTAAGCAAATCTCCTTCGCCCTGGCTAACATACAACATCAAAGAAATGATGAAGCTTAGGGATAAAGGTTACAAAAAATTTAAATCTACTCAATCCATTGTGCACTGGAATTACTAAAAAGAACTCAGAAATTACACCACATCTGCAATTCATCGTGAAATGAGAGCATACTTAGACTTTGTACTTCGGCAAAAAAATTCTAAATCTACTTGGAATGCTCTTAGATCTCTTAATATCTTGAGAAAACCAACTGCCTCTTTTCCTGATAATTTAAAGGATACAGATAGTATAAATTCTCACTTCACCAACATTACTCACACACAAAAAACTCACCCCCCAGAACCAGTCTAGTGATAATAGTTTTCAATTTTTCCCCGTTACATCATATCAAGTGAGAAATCATCTTTACAAAATTAAAAGCAACGCTGTAGGTTTAGATAATATTTCATTGAGACTAATTCACCTGGTAGACGAATTCTTATTAGAACATTTAACGTTCATATTTAACACATGTATCTCCAGTAGTCAGTTCCCGGAGCAATGGAAGAGAGCCTCTGTTATTCCATTACCAAAATGTAACAATCCCACTACCCACTCAGATCTTAGCCCAATTAGCATACTGCCTACTCTATCAAAAGTATTAGAGATGATTTTAAAAGAACAAATGAACAAGTTTATGAAAGAATACATCTTACCGGCTACGCAATCGGGTTTTCGTTCTAGTCACAGCACTACTACTGCGCTTCTAGACGCAACTAAGTATATATATGTTATATCTTGAATAACACAATTAGATTTTTAAAAAATATTTTATTACTTAAAAGGTATAATGTGTTTGTTGTAGGTGAGTTGTTATAACTAACTGACTTTTAATGTGTCACCCCTATTTATAACATAGGTAAAACAAAAGAAATATCTAAAAGGTGTAATGTGACAAAAGTGTTGCATTTACAAGAAAATGTAACTTGGCTGAATACAATCCTAGAGGTCAATGAAAACCATTCTAGGAATTGCAACTAAGCATTATTTAACTCTAGAGAGAATTTACTATTAAATAATATATAGAGTGAATTTTTTATATAACAACTCTTTTTTACAAAAAAAAATTGATGTTATACAGCAATGTTTGAAAGAAAGAAAAATATAAAAATAAAATAAGGTTAGTATTTAAATAAGACAAAGACTATAGAAAATAAGAAGTAAAATAATAAAATTAAAAGATTTTTAACGTAATCAAAAAAGTTCAATATTCTGTGTTTCGTCTATTTTAACGGTGTCCTCTTCAGATAAATTGGGTCTTTTCTTCGGAGGGTCCTTTTGTGGTGTTGGTGTTGTTGGTTTTCGATGTTTCCAAAACTGGTAAAGCAGGTATAGGTCTGCCAGTCCTATGATGAAACAAATGGTACAGTACGTAAACGAAGAAATGTTTTTCTCCACGAAGGGTTTATTGATGAGGTCGTCAATTTTTTTTGAGTACTGGTCCAATTGATTTTTGGTGACTGCTAAATCGTCTACGTTAAGATTTGCCAATTGTAGTGGTTTTAAATTGGGAATTGGCAGATTTGGAATATCATCACAACATTCAAAGTCTATTGACACGGGTTCGGGATCGTACACGATATTAGAAAGTTTTTTTGAACCGGTCTGCACTTTTGTTACCCCGATAAAAGCGAAACAACCTGATTGCAAGGTAAATATTGAGTTCTTAAGAATTGAGATTGTCTTTAGATTGGAACTTTCACAGTTTATTTATTTATTTATTTATAGTTCCGAAATAGTCGTGCCTCGCATATGGCGTTGTCATCTATTGGGAACGAGTATAGATCACTGCACAGTTTTTTAAATGGTGCAGATTCTTGACGGGGATGTACGTTAAGGCATCATCGTCTCTCGCTAAATATCTTTGTGAAACACTCAAAATATGATGAAGGCCTGTTCTTCTATCATAAATCGGAATGGGATATAAATGGAAGAGAGTAAAAATATGTTGCTCTATTAAGGGTATTTTGAGAACGAAAACGAGGTCTGTATTGGTTTGATAAGCTTCTATTTTAATTATTTCTAAATATTGAGCTAATTTTGAATGAGTAATAGGCAATGGTAAATTATTGTGTTCTAAGTTTTGAGAAATTATTTTTAAGGATGACATTAATTCTTCAGGTTCAATTATTGTAGTATGCAGAATTTTTAAACGTGCAAATGTTACTGAATTCACTATGTCAGTTATTATATTTTCAAGAAACGCATAGCTTTCAAAAAGTTTTTCGCAAATTTCAAAGAATTTCAATTTCGATTCGAGATAATTAATTTCGTTTGCTGATTGGTAGACAGCCTTTCGTATATTTACAATATCCTTATTTAAAATATTTTCGTTTAATTTAATTTGACTTATACTAGAATTAAAACTTTTAATTACTGATTGAGTAACGGAAATTTGTTTTTTCAATAAATTTTAGATTTTGTTTTGATCGTTTTTAATTTCATTAATGCAATTAGAATAGTACTCTCCATCAGAGGCGTCAAGATTACCAGTTATTGACTTAAAAATAGTGCCAATACCATTTATTAAACCACGCTTTTGACGTTTAATATCGAATGTTATTTGACTGAATTTGTCTTTAATAGATTTTGAAACTTGAAGTAATAGTGAAAGTTGATTTTTAATTTCCAAATGAAAGTTAGTTACAGGGTGGTCACCGCAAGGTCGAATAGAATTTT